TAATATTGCTGTACTGGCCAATTAAAATGTGACTCCAGATCAGTATAAAATTTGGGGTGGCTGGAAGAGCTGCATAGAGTCCACGTAGTATTTAATATTAGCCTGTATGGCTCACTAAAATGTGACCTCCAGATCAGTAAAATTAGGGGTGCTGGAAGAGCTGCATAGAGACATGTTTTTAAATTGCCTGTACTGGCTCAAATAAAATTAATGACCTCCAGATCAGTAAAATTAGGGGTGCTGCGAAGAGCTGCATAGAGGTCAACTGTATTTGGATATTGCCTGTACTGGCTCAATAAACAGTGCCCTCCGATCAGTAAATATAGGGGTGCTGGAAGAGCTGCATAGCGTCCATGTATTTAATATTAGCCTGTACTGGTCAATAAAATGAGCCTCAGATCAGTAAATTAGGGGTTGCTGGAAGAGATGCATAGAGTCCACTGTAATTTAATATTAGCCTGTACTGCTCAATAAAATGTGACCTCCAGATCAGTCTTTTAAACTTAAGGGTGCTGGAAAATTTCATAGAGTCCACTAGTATTTAATATTAGCATGTACTGGCTCAAAAAAATTGACCTCCAGATCAGTAAAATTAGGGGTGCTGGAACGAGCGGCATAGAGTCCACTAGTATTTAATATTAGCCTGTACTGGCTCAATAAAATGTGACCTCCAGTCAGTAACAATTAGGGGTGCTGGAAGAGGCGCATAGAGTCCACTAGTATTTAAATATTAGCCCTGTACGGCTCAAATAAAATTGTGCTCTAGGATCAGTAAATTTTAGGGTGCTGAAAGAGCTGCATTAGAGTTCCACTAGTAATTAATATTGCCGTACTGGCTCAATAAAAGGTTGACCTCAGATCAGTAAATATAGGGGTGCTGGAAGAGCTGCATAGCGTCCACTAGTATTTAATATTAGCCTGTACTGGCTCAATAAAATGTGACTCCAGATCGTAAAATTAGGGGTGCTGAGAAGAGCTTGCATAGAGACCATAGTTTTTAATATTAGGCCTGTACTGGCTCAATATATGTGACCTCCAGATCAAGTTAAAGTTAGAGTGAGGAAGATATTTGCATAGAGTCACTGTATTTAATATTAGCTGTACTGGCTCAATAAAATATGCCTCCAGATCAGTAAAATTAGGGCGTGCTGAAAGAGCTGATTAGAGTCCACTAGTATTTATAATATTAGCCTGTCTGGCTCATAAAATGTGACCTCCAGATCAGTAAAATTAAGGGTGCTGGAGAGCTGCAATAGAGTCCACAGTATTTAATATTAGTCTGTACTGGCTCAATAAAATATGACCCAGATCAGTAAAATTTAGGGGTGCTGGAAGAGCTGCATAGAGTCCACTAGTATTTTAATATTAGCCTGTTACTGGCTCAATAAAATGTGAACCTCCAGATTTCAGTAGGAAATTAGGGGTGCTGGAGCGCTGCATAGAGTCAATAGTATGTAATATTCGCCTGTACTGGCTCAATAAAGTTGACACTTCAGATCAGTAAATTTGGGGTGCTGGAGAGCTGCATAGAGTCACTAGTATTTAATATTAGCCTGTACCTGGCTCAATAAACGGTGACCTCCAGCTCAGTTAAATTTAGGGGAGCTGGATGAGCTGATAGAGTCTACACTAGTATTTATTATTAGCCTGTAATGGCTCAATCAATAACATGTGACCTCCAGTCAGTAAATTTAGGGGGAGCTGGACTGGAAGAGCGCATTAGAGTCACTAGTATTTAATATTAAGCCTGTACTGCTCAATATAATTGACCTCCAGATCAGTAAAATTAGGGGTGCTGGAAGGCTGCATAGAGTCCCAATAGAATATATTATTAGCCTGTACTGGCTCATAAATGTGGACTCCAGATCAGTAAATTTAGGGGTGCTGGAAAGCGCTGATAGAGTCACTAGTATTTAATATTATCCTGTACTGGCTCAATAAAATATGACCTCCAGATCAGTTAAAATTAGGGGTCGCTGGAAGAGCTGATAGAGTCCACTAGTATTATAATATTGCCTGTACTGGCTCAATTAAAATGTGACCTCCAGATCAGTTAAATTAGGGGTGCTGGAAGAGCTGCATAGGAGTCCACTAGTATTAATATTAGCCTTTATGGCTCAATAAAATATGACTCCAGATCAGTAAAATTAGGGGTGCTGGAAGAGCTGCATAGAGTCACTACGTATTTAATATTAGGCCTGTACGGGCCTCAATAAAATTTGACCTCCAGTATCAGTAATATAGGGGTGCTGGAAGAGCTGCCATTAGAGTCACTAGTATTTAATATTTGGCCCCAAAAAAAGCGGTCCTGGTCCATGGTCGGAGCCTTCGGCTTTAAACGAGTTGGAAGCAACCAGAAGAGAGGTTAGATTCGTATAAATTGGGGATTGAAGTGGATTTGCCAATAACCAGAGAGATGTTAAACAAATTGAACAACAGGTTTGAACAAATTTTTTTCTAAATTCTGTGGCCCCACTCGCTTCGCTCGCAAGTTTGGGGGGGGGGGGGGGGGGGGGCTGTCGGCGAGCGAAGAGAGTCGACGTGTCCAATCCAGCTGCGCAGCGAGCGAAGCGAGCAAGCTGTGGCAGGGGTCTGGGGGCACAGCCCCCAGCGGGGTCCAGGGGCGGAGCCCCTTGGCGGAGCCCTTTGGCGGAGCCCTTTGGCGGAGCCCCTTGGCGGGGGCTAGGGGGCGCAGCCCCCAGAAATTTTTTGCGAAATAGGGTGTTTTAGACGGCATTTGGCATTAAAGAAATTTGTAGGACAGCAATAAACTGGGATTGAAAAGAATCAAGTACTCACGTAAATTTGGTAACTTCACAACAGCAATCTGCATTCTCCAATCAGAATATTTCACTGTGTTCCAAAACTGACGGGATGTTCCTCTTTGATTTTTATACAATCGAAAAATTTTCTTCAAAAATTTCCTCAATTAATTTGTCTTTATTCCAAAAAAATATTTCGAAATTTAGGAGTAACTTCTCAAAAATTTCCTCTTATTCTCCCGTTTTTCCTCCCAAAAAAAAATTTCCTCCCAGGCTGCCTGGCAAGATGGCGTGTTTCTGGATGTGGGAATAGATGTATCGTATTCTAAGTGTGACAAAGTTTACCAAATCTTGCCATATTACTGTTAGATCCCTGCCTTTTAACCAATGATGTTTTATGATTGTTAGATCGTCCTAATCTACTACATTTTAGACCAAGGAATACTAATTGGGCAGCTATAGTAAACAAAGTCACAAAAATGTGACATTTTAACCATAATAGTGCCTAGCCACGTGACCAATACTATATTATGAGCAGTGCATAATATAGGAGTATTGGTCACGTGGCTAATACTCCTATATTATGAGCAGTGCATAATATAGGAGTATTCGTCACGTGGCTAATGATCAGAACTTCTGAACATGTTAGGTTAATAGATGCAAAGAGTGTTTCAAACCCTTCAAACCGCCAACTTGATCGTGATATCTCATCACTGTGTGATCGTAGGGAAATTTCGGAATGTTTTCACCTGTCCAAATAAATCGTTTATAAAGCAAATTTGATTTTGGCGTAATGCGGACGAATCCTGATATTTTAGATCCGGCTGCAGCTAAATAATGTCACTGAACTTACATTTTCACTTATATTAATTATGTTTCTCCTAACCATATTGCAAACCTGGTAATAATACAAATTAATAATTCTTGGTGCGTGAACGGCTGCTATATTTCACGTCCCAGCCTCCAGAAGAGTTCACAATAATTTAGTAACAGTTTCTTTTTGGGTAATTCTTACCTTGTAAAACACTTGAGAAGCGTTGTACGCAATCGTAACACTGGGGTATACCTGTAAATATATATATAATATTGTAAATAGTGCGGAACTCGCTGCCACCTTGCAATGATTGATTATTTTGTATTCAATAATCAGGGAAAATAAGCATGAATATAATATAATAATCGAACAACTAATTTTCGACAAGCGTTTATACGTTTCTATGCAGGAATATATTGTCCAAAGTTAAAGGAACTACCCAAAAGAGGTAAAGGTGAAGCTAGAGTATAATAGTTTCTCCAGGTGTTCTATCATCACACTTTTAAAAACTGCTGTCTGCCATTGCATCAAGGAAACAAGGATACAAGGCTAAAAAAGTGGTAATTACTTTATTGAATACACAATAGTCCTAATCCTAAATAATTTAAGTTAAAAGCAATTCCAATTAGTTACAAATATGTAAGAATCATTTAGAAATGTTATACTAGTATAAAAATAAAACGAATTTGTAGGGTCAATTTGATTTTGTGGTCCTACTATAGCATTATGCACTGGCCAGTATTTGAGTGGAAATCTGGGCGCTTCAAGTACGCTGCATATTGTTTATTTACAGAGAGAATTATTTACAGAGAGAATCCGTAATTTGGATCGATCCGATTTTCAGAACTATCAAATAAATGTGACAATGAACCTTCATTCGAAAAAAATGAACATGGATATTCTTTGAGTTAACATATTCCTCGAATGAGTGGTTATAGTAAGTCCTTAATCAGGCAATCAGTAACTGAGCTATAAGGGCCAACGTATTAATAACGTTACTTTTGCCCCCCCCCCCCCCCCCCGTATACATAATATATAATATATATATTATATTGTCTTGGCATGAATAGGAATATAGATACTTTAAACCAAAACAAAAACAAACAATCTTTCATACAAATACCTGATGATGAAAACCACACTTGTGAGAAGATTTGTCATTAGAGAGAGTTGTGATAGAGTCCGCTTCTCGGACATTCCTGATGTCCTTTTTCACTGACTGCATCACACAAGTTTACACATCACTACCTTTAGTTATATGTAGTTTAGGTCAGCTAATATCACAATTTGTGCTTCATTCTTTAATTGATATCATTAGTACGGTACTTGGTTAAACTTCATTTCATTTATATTTATGTAGATCAACCAGGAAGAAGCAGGATTAAAATCATACAATTAAAATGAGATACTCACTTTTTTTTACTTTGGGCAATCCTCGAACAAATGAGGTTCTATAATGATGACATTCCAAAATGTCAAAAAGTTGCTATAAAATAGTCTCTTATCACTCCAAACAAATGGATAAAAACTGTTACTTTAACCTAACAAAATACTACGTAATCACTTTTTGACCAATTTTTAAACCCCTCCGTAATCACTTTTACAAACCCACAGCCAGAAACCTTAGCAGACCAGCAGATAATCTGCAGGGAAATTTTCGATTTCAGAGGAAATTTTTGGTGCCAAAGAGGAAATTTTTAAAGTTTACGATCTGAATTTTGAAACATTTTACCATGAATTTTCTGGGGTAAATAGGAGATCCAAAATTTTTGACAAATGAAAGAGGAAAAATTAACAGTTCTTTGAAACGTTCTTGAAACTGTGTTTGAAAATGATCTCTATTGCCAAATTGCTTCTAGGCCTTCTGTGTGGGCAAAATCAGCAAGAATTTTTGCCTGCGGCAAACATATCTTCAATTCATGTCTGTACGAAAGTTTAAGTTGTATGCACTCTACATTTCTCAGTATATGGTTACCTTTACTCTGCAAGGCAAATATAATAATTTGTGATAACTACGAAAGATGGTGCAAGCTGGCCATGTTTTACTTGTGGGTTGTATGAGAAAGTCATTTTGTAATACACTTTTTTGAAGGACTTCAGATATTTTGTTATTGTAGATTTCAATGTGGCCAAGCAAAAACGCAAAAAATTTTTCTGGGGCCTAGCTCCAAATGCTTAAGACTGTCTTGCTTCACTCACCAGCATTGCAAAAGTGGAAAATTTGCGAGCGAAGCGGGCGGGCCACAGAAAACAGAAAATTTGTATCTGCGAGGAAAATTTTAACTTTCTGGATGTGGGTTTACAAATATCTATTGTGTTAAAATTACAGTAGCGAAAAAAACCCCATCTCATCCTCAGTGGTTACGTTACAAGTGAACAACCCAAAGAGCGATCACTTAAGGTTGCAAAATTCAATAATTTGTTCTACAATTGATCTATATCCGGCAGAAATTTTTGCAGCTGGAGCTTCGCTAAGAACTGACAATCCATTATCCCCTGAACGGCCAACAAATGGATCAAGTGGCAATGAACAGAGTAAGGGGATATTCTCGGAAGCAGCAAGTGCAGTACCTCCCCCAGAAGTAGCAGGAAATATTTGAGATTTAGTCTGGCACTTTGAGCAAGTATATGAGGACATGTTTTCAACAAGGCCAATCATGGGGATCTTGAGTTTCCGACAAAAACTGATCTCTTTTCTGACATCACTAAGAGATACTTCTTGAGGTGTTGTCACTAAAACAGCACCATTAACCTTGCTTTGCTTAAAAAGGGATACAATTGCTAAGTGTTCATCAGATGTACCAGGGGGTGTATCAATGATCAGACAATCAAGGTCACCCCAGTCCACTGAGCACAGAAATTCCTTGATCATTCCATTCTTTTTAGCACCACGCCATATCACAGCATCCTCCTCAGAACTTAGGAGAAAATCTATACTCATAACAGCAATGTCATCAAGGGTATAAACTGGACTCCAACCTGAACTACTCTTGTGAACTGTTTCGCCATTCACACCCATGATGCGAGATAAGGAAGGACCACATACATCAATATCTAATACACCAACAGAAAAGTCAAGCTTAGCCAAACCACGAGCAATTTCAGCAGTTACTGTACTTTTGCCCACACCACCTTTACCTGAAAGGACAAGAATTTTGTTCTTAACACCAACTAATTGCTTTTTGACCTCTGCAGGTGATACATCTGACATAAATTCTCCGGTTGAACAAAGTTTCTGATTGGGACAGCCAGCACATCCCTCAAGTTTTCCAGCATTGCTTGCTGAGGGTCCAGGACACGACACAGGTGCGTTCGCAGGGATCCCATTTGAATCTGCCATGGGAATCAATGGCTAAACGACGTTGCTGATTAAAGGATGAGATTAAAATATTACACTGAAAATTTAGGACAAGTAGAGACTAGACGGGGAGTGCTCTACTCGAGAGAGTCGGAATGCTTTATCATCAGCCAGAGTTCAGCCCCCAAATCATAAATTAATTATAATTATAATTTGAATCAAAATTACACTGTTTAATTGATTATTTGTTTAATTGAATACAATAAAAATAGTAAATAATTAAAAAACGCTTCGATCTGCTGTGCAGGACATTCAAATCAGCCAAAAACTGTTAATAGAGTGCCCTTCTTAGGACTAACAATCAAAACATATAGTACAATAAGAAGTTGATGAGTATAAAGTATGGTGGGTTAAAACATTGAACTGTGGGCATGAAGGTAACAATTAAATTATTACGAAAATTACATAGATACCAACTTTGACATTTCGTCAGAATTATGTAAAATTTTTTTACGGGGTAAAACTTTTGGAGAAGTATATCTAACCATTTTAGAATAAAATGACAACAGGTTGGTCATGGTAATGTTAAAAATAGGAGAGGCATACAGTTCTATACTTCTTTTAATAAAGTTTAAATAAAAAAGTTTGTGAATTACTTGGTTTGGTCAGAAATGCATGAAAACACAGGGGACCCTGCTATCTTAGCAAAGACTCCGAAACACCTTATTGTTGTCACAGAGCTGGAGTGTAGAAATAGTCAAAACTATTGTTTATTCCATATGATGAGATACCATTAGTTACATCCAACTTAAACAAGGATTTTATAATTCAATGAAACAATTAGTTTTCAATGAAACAATACGTTTTATTTTACATTCCTTTAATCATAAATAAAATAAGAGCTTAAACCACGAATTAGTTAACTAGAAGTAAACTTGAGGAAATATTCTTTGGTGATTGTATGTAATTATTTTTAAAACTTTATTTGGTTGTCAGTATTTTTGTTATGGCAAGTGGTTGAATTTAGTGAGACAAGGTCAGTTTCTCTATTGTCTTAGAAAAATTTCTACTTTACAGTAGGCAATGCAGGAATGAGGGACCAAAACGCTTGGGGCTAACAATGGCCCATTTACAACCCACTTCAGACATAGAAAGATGCTGCAAGAAAATGTGTATGTGGAAGTGACAACTCAATAAAACACTCATTAATATGCAAAAGGGGTGGGTATCTCTTCGCCACAATGGGTATCTCTTCACCACAATTCATTGAGAGATGTGTTAGCAGAGCTCTTAGAAACTGCTGGCTGTAAAGATGTTACCACTGAACCTCTACTCATTCCTGTCAACGGGAGAGAACTTCCTGCAGGGGCCAACAAAGCAGATGGAGCTAGATTAGATGTTAGTGCTAGGAGTGTATGGAACCCATTGGAAAGGGCATTTTTAGATGTAAGATTATTTCATGCTGAAGCTCCTTCCTGTTGTAGCGTGAGCGTAGAAATAAAAAAGTTGTTAACACGTAATCATAGAGGCTAGGGAAGAACAAATCGTTAATAACAAATTATGATAGCAATCAATGTTCAATATATATAACAATCTCCCTTCGGCAAGTTATAGCTAGTCGGCCGATACAACTAGCTGCGCTCGCGTTTAACACGAGGAGCTAGGCGCGCGCGCAAAATTGAGGTCAGGAGGACTGTCACTTTTTAGCGCTGACTAGCTTAACGTCGCCGCGCGTTCCATACATGTGGAACAACTTTTGTGACCAAACTGGTCTTTAACTTTAACTGTCAGAAAACAGACATAAAAAATACTTTCTCCCCACAGGTCGGGACAAAATTAGCAACATTTTGCTTCTTAAACGTTAAAAACTTGTAACTCATATTTCCATAAAATTGGATTAGCCACGTTCTCTGTCGAATTATTAAAATACATAAGTTAAATCAGGAAATCTGTAAAATTTAAAATAATGAGTGACTCTAAAAATGTGATAAAAACAGCGGTTTGACAAATATTACAACATACGGGTTTACAATGATTTCAGTTCGTGATTACTCATTCTAACTCATGGTTTTCATTTTAGTGATAGCATCACTCTTAGCACTTCTGGTTGGTCTCAAACGCGGTTCAGGTAAGGGTGCACCACCTGTAGCTGTAGGTTTGGACAACTCAGACACCCGGACTTGCTTGTCGTTGGTTTTCAGGGGGGAAGCAACTTTCGGTTGAGGACGCTCAGTCACTTTAGCCGGTGAGGTATCCTTGACTGGGGACGCTGGTTTCGCCACAGCCTCAAGTCTGTTGCCGTTCGGAACTCCTAGGTTTAGTGCATTCATTCTCCGTCTTTCCCTTGTTTCATGCAGCTTCTGGAACTTAATGTCAGAGCGAGCTATCTCTCTGGTTAACAGCGTTTTTTGCGGACTAGTGATTGCTTTTCGTTCCATCCTTATAACGGGGGTGAAGTATGGGACAGGTTTGACAGAATACAGCGATAGGAAGACGGAGGCACGGGAGGGAAATTGTGCACCACACGGACAAAATACTGCAGCCGAGTTGACAGTTGACGAGAACATGATTGAAATTGAGCGTGTTATGCATCTTTATACCTATTTTAGAAGAGATTTTTATAGAATGTTAGAAGACGTGCAGTAGGGTCAGTTTCAGACGAATTAAGCATAAATGACATCATCACCATGTCTGAAGTTTAAAAATTATTCAGACAATATACACATAATATAACAATTACCCTATATAAAAATTCAATATAAATTCAATAGAAAACTAACTTCGGGATAAAAGATGCTGCAAGAAAATGTGTATGTGGAAGAGACAACTCAATAAACCACTCATTAATATGCAAAAGGGGTGGATATGTATCTCTTCGCCACAACTCATTGAGGGATGCGATAGCAGAGCTATTAGAAACTGCTGGCTGTAAAGATGTTACCACTGAACCTCTCCTCATTCCTGTCAACGGGAGAGAACTTCCTGCAGGGGCCAACAAAGCAGATGGAGCTAGATTAGATGTTAGTGCTAGGAGTGTATGGAACCCATTGGAAAGGGCATTTTTAGATGTAAGAGTATTTCATGCTCAAGCTCCTTCCAATAAGGCTCTTGGATCTCCAACCACTATGTACAATAGCCACGAGAGACAGAAAAAGAATTTATACAATAAAAGGATTGTAGAAGTGGAACATGGGACGTTTACACCGATAGTCCTATCAACCACTGGGGGTATGGGAAGGGAAGCTAATCAGTTCTTCAAGAAATTAGCGGATAAACTATCTAGGAAATCAGGCCAACGATATAGTGAGGCAATGACATTTATTAGGAAGAGAGTAAGATTTGACCTATTGAGAACAACAGTCATAGCTCTTAGAGGAGAGAGAGGGTTGAAAAGTAGTAGTGCAGTAAAAATAGCAGAATTAGATATAAATTTGGAGCCAGTTCTTTAAACTGGCTTACTTATACTACTTAAAGGGTGTTTATAAATTTTATTTAGTTTTCTATTGAATTTATATTGAATTTTTATATAGGGTAATTGTTATATTATGTGTATATTGTTTGAATAATTTTTCTCTGTGAAAAAAAAAAAAAAATAGAAAAACAATATGAAACGGAAACGGCCCTGCTCGGCCATGGCCGAAGAGGGCCATTTCCGTTATATTATTTTTTATTATTTAAAAATGGCCCTCCTCGGCCACCATTCACTAGTGGTGTTAATAAATTTTTGTGTTCAGCTGGTTTTAGGTAGGGGTGCACGATAAAAATAAACCTGCTCGGATTTTCAAAATTTTTGTACTATTGTTTTCTTACTGGGCCGCGCTCAGCCTGTCATTCCGCTTAATCTTTATTCTATAGAGACTGTAAGAATTTTCACAGCACCAAATTTGTCATACCTTTTTGAAATGATCAGTGAGTTTCGCTTGGGGGCCATATTTGATGGTGCGCGGCTTTTGGAGCAAAGTTAGGCGTAAAAGTCGCCTAGTCGCGTAATTTGACGAAATTCGCTGATTTTTGTCGTATTATTATGTCATATCTTAATTGGTTCATGAACATGAATCATGCTGACAATTTTTCAGAACTTTCCTATCATACTTACCTACCGAACCTAAATTAGTTGGGAGAGATTGACCTTGATTAAGAGGTCTAAAAATGACAAAATAGGTATAAATTCGTTGATAACTTTCACACCTTTGAGACGACTCTCGCAAATGCGAGAGTAATGACCCCGGGGAGGGCCCCATTGGTTTTAGTAGGTTGCATATTTAAACAAAAAAAAACAAAAAAAAAAACAAAAACATATCGTTAATAGTTTGTTATAAGTTATAAGTTAATGAATATGGTACACATGCTAATACATAATAGTATGTAATAAGTTTTAAGTTCATGAGTATGGTACACATGCTAGAGATTTAAATATGTACATTTATGTACAGAGAAGTATAGATCTCAGAGAAAAAAGGAAGAGGTTACAAAAGAACTGGATGAAACGATAACTAAGTATCTTCTATTTCTTTTAAATCTGAGGCATATATAATTGAAGTGTCGAAAGGATATTCCCTTTTTTACCACCTTACCATTCTGATTGATTCTGCACATGGCTGACATGTTTTAACTGGAGAAGGGGTTCGCACAGTGGTAGTTTTATAAACCACTTTTAATTTATTGACCTATTATACCTAGTGGTAGTTTTACAGACCACATTTAATTTATTAACTTATTATACTTAGTATTTATTTTTGGTGACTGTATCACCCAGTACAGTTTTAACATTTGAAAATTGTACAGTTTATTGACGACACATTCACCGAATGTTATTTTATATTCTAATTTATATACTAGATATTTTATTTATTTTCCAACAGACGACAACTTCCTGTTTTTTTTCCTTCTATATTAGTTACTCATATCTCTTGTACAGACTGTTCTACAAGGACATTGACAGATGATACTCATATTAGGCATTCATTATTGCATCTAAATTATTTCACTTGCATTAGGTTTAGAAATTTATTCTCTGGTTAACAGATTTCAAATGTTTAATTAATTTGTAGTATGACAGTATATAAGAAG